AATAGATGAAGATGTAGCGTTGGAGAGACGCTTCAAATCCATCGTCGAACCTCTAAAACAGATTGTCGAGGAAACACATCCAATTAAAAAAGTAGCCAATGTTGCAAAGGATATCAGTATTAAGAAAAAAAGAACGTGAAGACAGCGATGATGATGACGATACTACTACTACTACTACTACTATTACTAACATTCGTATTGGACGGATGTTGGATGGTTGAAATTATCGCCGCAATCTAAAAAGCGTACAAAACAATTGAATACCGCGTCAGATTCATTCACGTTCGATTCTACATCGATAGAACCATTAAAAGAACTACCGAAAATATCGCTATTTGTGCGAAATGAAAATATTTTTGAAACAAAAGACGTTAGTGAACCGTCACTTGAAACAACCATCAAACAGAATTTGCAAACGCATGGAAGTCGTGAGACGCTTCATGGTCAGCTAGGACCATTGGGACGAAAGTATGTGGGCCTTTTTCTCGGTGACGATATAGATAAAGCGATCGATAATGTGTACGGTACCTATTTCGACAAAAGTGGTACAATGCTCGGTGACAAAAAGTTTGACGTTGACAAAAATGACTCCATAATCATAGACAATGTGAGATACAATGATACACCAGGATTATACGAATTGATCTTCAAGAGACTTCCCGATGAAGCTATATTTACCGAAGATGACAAACAAACGTATAAAAGTATACTATTAACAACGAATGCTCATAGACGTGGTCACAGCGCCCATAATCCCATCATGGGCAACAAGGGATACAAGTACATTAATATCATCGCTCCGCTCGTATCTACATATAAAAGAAGCAGTAAAAAGGGTGCAGGCATGAATAATATATCATCCACCATAAAGTTAAATGATAACAAGATCGATTACGTATTGGGACGATCCCAACGAACTGGTGGATCGACTTCGATTACTCGACGCTTCGCACCGAGCTAGTCACAACGCTCACGACAACGAGATGCTGTCGATCATCGAGGAACTTCGCGAAGCCGGCATTATTATACATTAAATCGCGTGTCAACGAAACGAGCCAGTCGATTGAGGAAGAAAACTTTAATTGTAATATATCTTATTTACACGCATTAATATCAAACATCGTCGAAACATGAGATCGTCAAAATCCGATGAACGTGAAAAAAATATTAACTCCGTAAGGCGACGACTCGTCGAGGAATTGCACGCTCCAGCCAGAAGAAATTTTCCACGAAGACGTGTCATAATTCGAGGATACGACGATCTGTGGCAAGCTGATATCAAGATGCGCCCATATTCGAATTTCAACAGAGATCATCATTACATACTCACCGTTATCGATGCGTTGAGCAAATATGCTTGGGCCGTACCACTCAAGAGCAAGGTCGGAAGCGAGACGAGTAATGCTATCACCGAGATAATTCGAGAGAGCGGAAGATGCCCGAGAAATTTGCAAACGGATATGGGGAAGGAGTTTTACAACGCCGATGTGCAGAAACTCTTGAAAAAACATAGCGTTAATCATTATTCCACGTATTTGATATTGAAGGCATCGATCGTCGAACGGTTTAATCGCACACTTAAAAACGACATGTGGAAGATGTTTACACTTAATGGTACTTACAAATGGGTCGACGCGCTGTCGCGTCTCGTGTTAGATTACAACGCGCACAAACATCGTACTATTGGCATGCGACCCATTGACGTAACTCCCGCACTAAAAAACTCTTGGATACGGTGTACAGCGCGATAAAGATCGCAGATTCAGCAAAATTCAAAGTCGAATCGGTACGCGTGAGCAAGTACAAGACAGTTTTCGAAAAAAGTTACACGCCAAATTGGACCACCGAGGTGTTTAAGATCGTTAAAGTGCAGCGTACTAATCCCGTAACCTATCTACTCGAAGACTATCGCGGAGAATTCGTTGCTGGAGCGTTCTACGAGCACGAGTTGCATCGCGTGACTCATCCGGACGTGTATCTCGTGGAGAAAGTACTGCGTAGGAAAGGAGATAAGGTTTACGTCAAGTGGCTAGGATTCAATGGGTCACATAATTCTTGGATACACAAAAATAATGTGATTTAATTCATTTATTGTAAACAAATATAAAAATATTTATATAAAAAATTTTTAATTCATTCATTTTATTGTAAAAACAAATAAAAAAGTATTTATATAAAAATATATACAATAAGTCTTATTTTTTCTTCCATTACATTTTCGTAAAGAAACTATACAGAGGGACTAACTACGATGAACTTAAGATAATATATAAAATGTATAAAATTACGGAAAATACGTACATATGTACATATAAACTACAAATACATATAAACTATAAGAAATACATACATATGTATATGCATATGTACATATGTGCATAAACTACAAGTATGTATATACATACGTACATACGTACATATGTATATGCATACATACATATATACGTACGTACATTACATACTGTACATATGTACATACGTACATATGTACATACGTATATATAAACTATAAGAAATACGTGCATATGTACATATATATGTATAAAACTATATAAAAAAATACATGTATATTACAAAGATATTCGCCAATGTCCCCATGGTAACATTTCCGTCGAATCCGGTATGATGTATTGTTTGTCATCGTATGAACTCAGAGCAATTTTTGACTCGGATACCGTATACTTGGTGTAACTTGGATCTTATACATGACTGGCGACGAGTCATTTCGATCTTTTCATTCAAACACCGTATATAATCATCGAACGTTTGTTCGCGCTACGACGTTATTCTTTACATCTTTCGCCTTTTTGGTGTCCTTTTTACCATCCACTCTCATCACGTACATTTCCGCTCTGAGTCCGACAAATTCCGTCATAATCGCACCGTTATTTTCGTCCTTCATTAGGCCGGGTACTTTTTTATTCACGAGAGACATACCATATGCGTTGTCCGTCGGATAATTGCTCGTATCGAATCTAGCGATATCGCGTTTCATCGTCTCGTACACATCATCGCACTCAATGTGATATACAAGACTGTCTGTGTCGGTGTACATGATTTTACATTTGTCGCGATACAACGGTAATATATATTCGTGGTGAAATTCGTAGAAGTAGATTTTTGATATATCGAGTATACACATACCCACATAAATCGGCTTGTTGAATTTTACCTGTTGAGTTTACGCAGTTCGACGGCGATTAAATTTTCCGCAAAGACGCTGCGGCTGTGGAAATTTGGTTTCGCGATCATTGCCTCCGCACCGTATCGTCCGTCCCATTTCGTTATCAATTTTACATCCACGTGATTCTGGACATTTTCCATCATTTTACCGAATACTGCGTTGTTCATTAATTTGTATAAATTTTTTTCGAAATCGTTTTTTCGCACACATTCTGAGCTGTGTATTAAGTTCAATGTAATCGCGGAGCCAGGTGAATTGAGCGAATTGTAGTACGCAATGTATCTTTGCGATACGAAGATTGTGGCGCGTACATTGCTGCAGGTTACGATAGTGGATGACATATCGCTTTTTGTCATATAGCGTCGCGAGAAGTTTATTCTGCCGCGTGTCGGGTAGTTTATCGTGCGTCGGATAGAAAGGTAAGTCAGTGTGTCGGTCGTGCAGATGATGCGGATACTCGAGATCGACCTCGAGAATATAACCCGTAGGCGAATCCGGAGCGATCGCGCTCGCGTCAAACTTCGCGATGTCTTCAACCCATCGAAATTTGGCATAGGGCAGCGGTTGACACATCGCCCATCCGTATAAATTGTTTACGTCGTAGTACATCAAATACAACGACGGTTTCGACGGGTCGTACGAACGCATGTACTTGTTATTGGCCTGCGTATATCTGTTGGAACATTGACTGAGGCTGCCGCGTATACCGCGCTCGATAAACATAACCATATCGATGTCGGTGAGCAACTCAAATTTTATACGCGTATGTTTCAGCATGGCGTCCCACGTGAAACCTGGCAATGAGCGGGATCGAGACTGTAACTTTTAATACTTTTAATACTTTTTAATACAACTTTCACGGAAATTTTCAAAAACGTCAGCCAATAACTAGACATCAGTCTTCAAATCTATAGATCGCTATATTCGCCTAAGGTTTCAATAGAGAACCGCTGCCAGATGTTCACGGCGTGCGCGTAATCATTCTCCGACACTGTGTTACCGGTCAACGAGCTATAAAATGATTCGCGCGATGGTAGGCGCGTGTCCTGCAGCTTGTCCGCGCGATCCACGTATTCATAAGGAAAGACACCTTTATGCGTCAACAAATTAAAATCCTCGTTCGATAACGTGGAAAATTTGGAATGTAAAATTTTCAATTTCTCTCTACTTAAAAAAGATATCAATTTATCGAGACTGGTACTCAAAATTTGTACGAATCGTAATTGTACACAATTTTGCGAATCTGATCTATCTTTGACATGTTTAGTGAATGAAATGTATTTTCCTTTGTTATCGGCAGCACGTCAATTTTGCCTTCGTACACCGTAGCTATTTCTGCGATAACAAAGTGCGCGTCATAACCGGATAAATTGTGAAAGACTACAGGAATGCAATATGATTTTTTATAGTTTAGATTGCAATTCGAATGTGCGGGTCCGCGGTAACGACCGATAAGGTGGCAATGATCACGTATCCGCGTGTCGTCCGACGCAAATGATTTCTCACAAATGTGACAACGCGTCGCGCTACGGTATGTCTTCCACTGATCTCTCGATAATGTTTCCATAGGGACATTCGCGGATAACAAAATTTTTATTTGATGCGTCAAATTTTCGAGTTGCCGAACGAACCATGCAACGCAATCTTCGCCGCGACGAAATTGATACGCCGATAACGCATCGTCGTACAAGCATCGCACATAATATCCTACGCTAAATACCTTGTGTTGCTGTTGATATGTGTACGACGTGTTTTCTCTTTCCGGCTCCATCCTTCGCAGTATGCACTCAAGATCCGCATAGACGATGAATGGAAGTCATTCTTTGTTGAAGTAGTTCTTGAAGTCGAGCCACTTGTCGTCCTCATTCGGCAGTCGGATGGCGCAATCGTTCATCCGTTCACAATCCACCGTATGCGATTCCAATTTCTCGGATGAATTAGAATAATGTAAACATCTGCAAACGGAAAACATGATTTTTTAGTATTTTTAGCATTTAAATTAACAATTATAAAATATTTTACATATTTTATTTTACATATTTTGTTAAAAAATGTGCATACCGATCACAAAAGTATTTCTTGTGTTCTTTTTTACTCAGTTGCGAGCTCACAAGACGGGATAAGTTTTTGATGTACGCGAAGTGCCCATTATCGTCGCGCGGATCTTGCACGTACAACAAATTTGCATGTTTCTCCATCTTCTTTGTTGTCAGATGTATTGGGAGAATCTTTTTTTCCTTGATATCGTAGACGTTGATAGAGATTTCGTTGAGATGTTCGAACTTTTTAATTTGATTCAACGTCATCGGAAACGTAATGTCTTGGAGATTTAACACTGTCGTATAATGTGGATACGATGATTCCCGATTTGTATGCCTTTCGACCAGATGCAAGGTCGCGACCACTGACCATGCGAAACACGCATTGTCCATTGACTGCATGTTAATTACCGCTCTCTTTAACATAATTTCCCACGGTAACTCGATGTAACACCCTGCGTGCATGGGATTACATTTATTAACATTAATTGTTAAGTTTAATATACGTGATAGCGCCCATCCACTGTCGCGTTCTTGAAATTCTTCGAGCGATGCCAACGTAGGTTCAATGACGTGCTGCTCGTACCACTCATCCACATTTGACACTCGAAAGAGTTCACTATTTTTAATGTTTATACTTTTATTGGCGCGTTTATCGCCCGTCACAAACTCGCCGTTGAACGCGGTGTTCACTTTTACATTATCGTGTCTTTCTATAATGTCTCGCACTCGTTCGAGCACTACACCACCGGCATCTTCCAAAAATCGTCGCGGCTCGATATAGTTCACGTTGATCATCGCACCAGTTAATATACGGCTTTCAAACGCCGTATATTGATTATCAATCTCGCGCCAAACGAGAGATCCATTGTCTCTACTGGTGCTCGCATACCATTGTCTCTATTGGTACTCGCCACCAACGTGCACGAAACGTCTTTCTAATTGTACCTTTGCAGCGAGTCGTGCGATCCTCGCCACCACAGATTGTCTATTTGCAACGGTGAGTCGAGGACGCTTAACACGACTAAGTTCTTCGAGTTGTTCGATGCACTCGTCGCATTGTTGCAGCCACGCGAAATACTCCACCAAAGTAGCGACCTGGATTGTTCTAGCAGCTCGCGTTCCACTCGCTCGAGATGTTCCATTTTTTATACTACGTCCCACGAAGCACTTGCACTTGCACGTGATTTGTCCACAATATCGTCTTTTTTACGCGGTGCAAATTGGGCACATGTTACATGACATTGTTATATATACGGACTGACTGCAATTGGAGCAAAATCGACCGTTTAACGCATCGAGAGTATTTATCTCATGCTTCCTAACGGCATACATTATTCCAATGTCAGTGTCCGTCAGACGAACTATGCATTCGGCACATACAATTAGAGCACCATCCGTCGAATAATAAAATTGTATTGTGCAATGTTTTCTATTACTATTCAGTACAAGGAGTTCCGAACGCGTAACAATTTTCTCTGCATAATCCGTTAGCTCCTCACTCTGATCACTTATGCAATCACTGTCATCAGATAACGCGTGCTCATCATCTTCATCTTCAATATCAATGTCAATATTTCCAACATTCTCAATTTCTTCTTCTTCATCTCCCCACACGTCCATTATATTCGCGATGTCTTCCATGTCCATATTTATCACATTCAATCACATTCGCACCGTCAACTATTTTTTCACACAGTATCGCGATCGATATTCATTTATATTTCACACAGTATCGCAATCTATATTCGTTTCGAGACTTCCGAGATCTACTATGATTCCGTGTGCCCAAGGATCTACTATATATATCGTCTATAATTTCATTGTCGCTTTGTCGAACTCGAAGCATGGTCATAGGTTTTCCGAGTCACAATTTTGACTTTTTGTAACAGCCCAAGTTTTCCCGTTTTTTTTACCCCCAATTTTTTCTCCGATAAGAAGATTCGATAGAAAAGATTTGATGACTTTTTTTTAAAGACAGCATAACTTGAAAGTAACAGTTGGAATAATATCAATCGATATCCGGAAATAGTTTTTTTCAACATAAAAAGAAACTTGGTATTTATGATGGAATATTATTTATCGGTGTAACATCGATAAAAAATCGTATTCAGTTTTATAGTTTCCGTTCCGTGTCACTGTCAAAATTTATTTGACTCTTACGTGAAAACTTGGACTTGATCAAACAGGAACGAGCATGTTTCAAAATTTATTATTAGGAAAAAATTAAGAGAGAAGAAGTCCATTTACCGACTTATTTTTATTGAATAATGAATTTTTCGAGATTGTTCGAAATTAACTCGTTACAACATGTACATTTGTTTAGCAGCCGAATTATTGGCGCTTCTCTTACCATGCTGTGATACGTACAATTGTCAATGCTATTTTTTCTAAATCGGGATATCATTATAAATCTTTCGAATTTGTTTAGGTACATTATTTTCATTAAATAACGGATTTTTCGAGATTGTTCGAAACTAACACGTTGTAACACGTACATTTGTTTATTGCAGCCGGAGTATCGGCACTTTTCTTATCATGCTACGACACATACAGTCGTTAATGCTATTTTTTCTAAGTCGAGACATCATTATATATCTTCCGAATCGCAATTTGTTTAGGTACATTATTTTCATTAAATAACGGATTTTTCGAGATTGTTCGAAATTAACTCGTTAGCAACATGTACATTTGTTTATAGCAGCCGGATTATTGATGCTTCTCTTACTATGCTGCGACACGTACAATCGTCAATGATATTTTTTCTATATCGGGACATCATTATAAATCTTTCGAATTTGTTTAGGTACATTATTTTTATTAAATAACGGATTTTTCGAGATTGTTCGAAATTAACTCGTTGCAACATGTATATTTGTTTATAGCAGCCGGATTATTGACGCTTCTCTTAACATGCTGTGACACGTACAGTCGTCAATATTTTTTCTAAATCGAGACATCATTATAAATCTTCCAAATAGCAATTTGTTTAGGTACATAACAATCGGAATATCGGCGCTTTTTTTCCTTTTTTTTCCTACGTCAATTTCTACAAAAAATATCTTTTCTAGCAGCTCTTCCTAGACAAAAAAAGACCCCCTCCCCCCTTCCTCCTCAAAAGTACATTCCAAAGGATCATCGACAAAGCATTCCCCCTTCCCCGTGCCTACCAGTTACCCCCTCTCCTTTACCCCCGCGTCCTCGAGTTACCCCGCACACCCGCACCCCGCTCGGAGCTCTTGGGTTAGAACCTAGTATCACTACTGAACAAAACGAGAAATATGGAAAACAATTAGTAACAAGTCTTAGCATTTTTAAATGTAATAAAAGTGAGTATTATATTTTTAAGCTAGCATATCTTTTTTATTAATTTTATTATTTTTTTTTATTAATTTGTTCCTGAATTTCCAGTAAGTAAAATAGCAGCAATCTGTTATTATTTGTATCTGTTTGTGTTCTGCTAACATAGCCTATCGATATGAATTAACAGCAAATTGTTGATGTAAACTAACATTACTATTACTAAAAAATCTTGAAAAACAAAGTTTCTATTACTTCTTTTATTCCTTATTTAAAAAATAATTTTTAATTGTTTTATTAATAAAAAAATTAATTATATTATGTACAGTATAAATAAATTATTAAATTTTTTTCAAAGATATGTACCATGGCTCTTGATTTATACATGCATCAATAATTATTTTACAGATTTACTGTATTTATTAATTAATTTTCTTGCCACGAAAATAGACGTTTTACACCAAGTGTATATATAAAAAATATATAAATAATAATGGCATATTTGAATTTTAATTATAGCAATTTCGATTATGTAGAGAACATTTAACAAATATTACATGCGAATAACGAACACAATCTAATTTGGACGCAGTTTTGCAATTATATTCTATTTATTAACTATGCAGAATGTGCCCTGTCTAAATATATTATGCAGGTCTTGCTCGATTTCTGTACGGCTAATCCGACATCAAACTGCATTGCGCAGGTCCTGCTTGGTTTTCTATTTGCCGGCAGGTGTCACAACAGACTCTGTCTCTTTTCTATTAATAATTTAACCGATTATATTAGTAAAATCTGCTCGGTCAGCAATCTATCATCAGAATATAATAATCATCAGAAATAATACAGATCTGCTCTGTTTCTTGTACCAGTCTGTCATTTAGTTTTGCTTGTAGATTCTGTTATATTTCTTTCAGCAATTTGTTAAGAGCAAAGTATATGTCTAATTCTATATCAATTCTGTTATTATAATAACATATGATTCTATTATAATATTTATATAAATTTTCCTCATAGGACCGCTAATAAAACATCCAAAGAGTGGTAGCTTCTAGAAAAAAATCGCACGTTCAAATTGAAAATTTTCTCCTTCATCTTTCTCTTTGTCAAGGGATCACCTCATTCACGTAAATAATCCTCAAATCTATTTCTCATGACGGGACAGATAGTCTCTTGCTCTTTTAAAAAACCTGCTCGCAAACGTCGTTCGAAACGGTTTGTCATTAAGTTTTCGCTTATTATGATTCCACGCTTATTATGATTGTCACGTAAGAAAATTCCTTCACCGTCCGTGTTTTAGATACTCGACATTGTTGTGACAATATTCCACTAACCTGCTCTTATCACCGTGCAAGAATTGTGCTCTGTAATTTATGACGGCTTCAACTGTTATTCATGGAACAAAATGAATTCTTTTTCCGATTACGTCTTGATTTGTAAACTAATGACAGATAATCTAAAAAAAGCTTGTTTTATTTTTACTTCGTTCAAATTTATCTTTCTATTTTTTCGTATAAATATTTATGCTGTTTATTTATATGATTAGATTGTTTTAAAGGTTAATCAGATTTTCTTTTAATATTAATAAGTATGAAAATTTAAAAAATATGAATGTACTTTCGTACGAGAAGATAATTCATGAGTTCCACATATTCTAATGTTTTCGCCATCATTAATCCTGAAATTCCTGCATCAATTATTACAATTTTTGTCCTTCCTGTTTTTCTGGTGTATGCAGTTTTTATTTGCAGTTTTTTATTTGTTTTATCAAAGTTGTTATTAGTCAATCTAAACGTCCGGGAGACTACATCCTATATAGCATCTGAAGTAATTGATTATTAAATTGTAAATGAAGATACATATCTTTTGTTATATTTTATTATTCTAGTTCATGGAATATTATAAAAATTCTATTAATGCAAAGAAATTACTATTTATTTGAAAATATTTTCAGAGCAATAGTATAAAATAAATAGTAAATAAATAATAAATATAAATAATACACTTAGTAATAAATAAATACACTTAGTCAATAAATAATAATAAATATTTTTTTCTTGCAAATATAACGCTAAAGAACATATTTCATATCAGTTATATTTTTTCTATTTTATATCAATTTACAAAATTAAAATTTATATTATCACAATGTATAATGTTTATAC